GCATGTGGCTTGAGTATTTTAAGAAATACTTAGTAAGTGACTCCACTATTAGGGGTTAAATGACGAGACCTATTAGTCTATTTTTTTTCCTACGGCACTATTCTAATTAGGCAGCTTGGATGTGTACTATATACTCTACACACAACCCATACATGCGAGTATGGGCTCACTAGTCAGTTTGCACACCGCTGGGCCCCTTTTCTTGTTGGGCGAGCCTTCTCTGGTAGCTTAACTTTTTCCGGACATCCATTAGAATTGATAACCGTCACGGTAGCATTATGTAAAACATAACGATACTTCGCTTGCTTAATGGATGTACGCATCCGTACCCTTGTGATGGAATATGGGTATCCCCCAATAATGCATGAGCACACATAATGCATGAGGTCCCAACATTTTTCCGTTTTCATTATCATTTAATACAACCCCGATAGCATTCTGTACATATCATATCATTTCAAATATCGATCATCATTCATATCATATTGTTTCTCATTATTCAGTTCTCATATCATACATAATTCTAACAAGGTTATATTTCGTGTCATTTATCGTGATTTCATGTCATTTATATCATGCTATATACACGCAAGTTATGAGACATACCATAACGTTCTATGCTTTTAACATAATATTTCATCATATGCATATCATACCATAACATATTGAATCACAATGTATCATATCATAAACATGTCAATTTATCACATATCTCGTACCATAACATATTTCATATCATATGACAACATGTATATATCCGTCATTCACATGTCGTATCATAATCATATCATATTGTAAATACTTCGTGGTTATATCGTTTCCTAACTTATCATAGCCTTAACGTTCTTATACCTATCATAATCATATTGTTACATGAACGTACCTTAGTCATATCATCACAGGAACGTATCCTAACGCTATCGTTCTATCAATCTATCACAAACCTATCCCTTTCTATCCATAACCTAACCCTATTATTTTATCAATCTCTCATATTCATAGCACTTCTGTATGTAACCTAACTTTAACGTTTCATGAACGATCTTACTCAAATCGTTACATTTCGTTTTGTGCATCCTTCTCGTATCCTATCTCAAACATATTATCGAACACATCGTACCGTAACTATTATCATACAAGTCACATATCATAACATATACATCACATATCATAAGCATATCAATCCACAAACAATTCACACATATCAATATATATGACACGTACATAACCATCGGGCATGTGTCAACATCAAATATAATCATGCCGATAGTAAGGTCACTTATCTGATTAGCTTAAGTTGTTGTCACGAATATATCCTTAATGAAAGTAAACAAAATTGATAGAGTTATTTCATGATTACGTTGTCTGCCTGTATTTACTTTCTTCCCTATATTTAGTTTAAGTTTTTAATTTCTTAATCTTCCTTTTTTTTCTTTTTTTTTTATCTCTATTTACTCTATTTTCTTTTAATTTTGTTAAAATGTATTCCAAATTTCAATGGATCCGTGTTTCCAAATCTTTCCGTTTCTCTTCTTCTCATTCCGTTAACATTTGAATTATGTTCACAAACTTTCTTGGTCATTTTATTTTTAATCTATTCATTTGGTTACTGATATAAATTGACTGATCTAATATTACTAATTTGAGGATATACTAGAATTCATATAAATGATTGACATTTACTTTCTAACTCAAAACAATTGTAATGATTTAATGAAAATTTAACAATAATGGGCCGATATTTCTAAAAAGAATAGGACAAAAGAAAATTAAGATTTAATATATTCCTTTGATCATATCTATTTTCACGTAAATCTTTGAAGTCAGGTGAATCTCAACGGGATAAATGCTATTCTCATTTTTTCCCTCAATCTTGGTGAATCAATCTGGCAATTGTTTTTCCTCAAATCTTAGTCAGGTGAATCTCAACTGGGTAAATGTCATTCTCAATCGGGCAATTGTTCTTTCGGGCTATTGTTGTTTTAATAGGGTAAATGTCATTCTCTGTTGTTTTAATAGGGTAAATATCATTCTCAATCTGGCCATTTGCTGTTTTAATTGGGTTGTTGTTTTTGGCCATTGTTGTTTTAACTGGGTAAATGTCATTCTCAATCTGGCAATGGTTGTTTTAACCGGGTAAATGTCATTCTCATTTTTTTCCTCAAATCTTGGCGAATCAATCTGGCAATTGTTTTTCTTCAATCTTACTAAGGTGAATCTAGGTGAATATGCCATTCTCAATATGGCAATGGTTGTTTCTTGCCATTGTTGTTTTAACTATGGCAATGGTTGTTTTAACCGGGTCAATGTCATTCTCAATTTGACAATTATTGTTTTAATGGGTAAATGTTATTCTCATTTTTCCTCAAATCTGGGTGAATTGAATCTCAACTGGGTAAATGCTGGCAATTGTTTTTCTTGGATCTTAGTCTTAGTCAGGTGAATATCTCATATGAATATGTCATTCTCAATAATGACAATGGTCGTTTCTGGTCATTGTTGTTTTATCCTGGTAAATGTCATTCTCAATCTGGCCATTGTTGTTTTAACTGCAAATGTTATTATTATTTTTTTTCTCAAATCTTGGTGAATTGAATCTCAACTAGATAAATACCAATCAGGCAATTGTTTTTCTTGGTACATGTCAATCTAAGCCATTGTTCCGGATATGGTACAAGTCAATCAGGCAATTGTTTTTCATGGGTAAATGTCTATATGGGGTTGTTTTTCCTGGGTAAATGTCAATATGGGGTGAATGTCATTCTCAATCTTGCAATTGTTGTTTTTCGGTTTCTTTTTGCAAATTGTGGTAAATGCCAATCTGGGTGCATCTCAACCGGGTAAATGTCATTGTTGAGAAATGTCATTCTCAATCTGGCAATTGTTGTTGAATCTCATGGGTAAATGTCATTGTTGTTGAATCTCAACGGGTAAATGTCATTATCAATCTGGCAATTGTTGTTTTTTTTTTTTTTTTTTTTTTTTTTTTTTTTTTTTTTTTTTTTTTTTTTTTTTTTTTT